AATTGTTATGGAAAAACTGGTGAAATTCAATAAGGTTTATAGTTTAGTTAATGATATTGTTCCAATGTTAAGACAAAGTACAGGAAGCAGCTCTTGATCTGAGGATACTTATTAATTCCCCAAAAAAGGACTGTGTAAGGCCTTTATCATTCTCAAAGTGAGACATTTAAAGGTGATCTTTTCCATATAGATGTGGGACTGTCCTACCTTTTCATCCCTCCCAGAGTAGCAAAGGCAAACTAAAGATAAACTTGCCACTATCTCAATTTCCAAAAGGAACCAAAAAGGGAGTTCAGAGTGTTTTGGAGCTGAACAAAACAAAGGGAGGAGCCAGGTATGGTGGTGCATGCAGGTAATCCTAGCACTTTGCAAGGCTGAGGCAGGAAGACAGAATGTTCTACTCCACCCTAGGCAATTTCGTGACTTAGCAAGACCCTGTCTTAAAACAGAATTTTTAAAAAGGGCTGGGAATGTACCTCAGTGTAAAGGCCCTGGGTTCAATTCTCAATATTAAGGGGGAAAAATAATGAATAGAAAAATCTTTAAGAAATTGTAATCTCAGATAGGCCCTCCTTAAAATGTGCTCCAAGAAGCCTCCAGAAATTAACTTAGTTTAAGGGAATTTCAAGTAAGCTGTATCTTCAAACTAAAATCTTTTGAAAATACAGCTTCATGCAGGCTTGGGGTTACCCACAAATAACTTTTTAAAGATAATGATAAGTTAAATCACTACGCATAAAGGAAAACAAACTGAAAGAAAAAAAATCAAAACAGCAGAAAAAGACCAACAAACTCATCACATCTTGGAATCACCTGAGGTAGAGTATAAATCAACATGCTTACTATTCTTATACATATACAGAGAATAGCTACAGTATGAATAAAAAAGAATGAAAGGTCTAGCCAGGCCTGGTGGTCCATGCTTGTAATTCCAGTGCTCTGGGTGGCTCGGGCAGATGATGACGAGTTTGAACCCAGCCTGGCCAACTTAGCATGATCCTATCTTAAAAATTGTAAAAGGTGCTGAGGATGTAACTAAGTGAGAAGACAGTTCAATCTGAAGTACTGCAAAAAATAAAATAATATAAAAATAAAATGTCTAGATGAGGCTGGAGGTGTAGGTTAACGGTAGAAAACTACACTTGCCTGGCATGCATGAGGCCCTAGGTTCAACCCTAAGTACCACCACACACACACACACACACACACACACACACGCACAAAGGACCAGGTCAATTTCATACATAAATTAATAAACCAAACCCCCAAACATTAAGTATACTTCATTATAACCAAGATGGGTTAAATATATCCCAGAAATGCAAGGCTGCTTTAATTATAAAATATACAAACATGAAGAGATGGAAATAAGATCAAACATGCAAACACTGATATTTATAAGAAGAACACTTGAAGAATAAGCAAAGAACTAATAAAAGTGGTTACCAACAGCTGGTGGGAGAACAGGGTGAAAGGGAGAGAGGCTTTTGAAACATATGAAGATAGCACTGATTTTTAAATTTAACTTTAAAATCATTAATGTAATTAATCACATTAACATAGCGAAAAACTAAAATCAAATGATCATCCTAACAGATGCAGAAAAACGATTTGCTATTCAGTACCCATTCAAAATTAAGAAAACCTTAGCAAACTAGAAGATAACTTTCTTGTTTCCAATGAAACACCTATTTTTAAAAACTATAAATATTACTACACTTGTGAAATATAAATTATACCCAGGTTAAAAACAAGTCCAGAAAATCTAGTATCACACTTATTTAATATTACACTGGAAGTCCTACTCAGAACAGAAAGGCAAGAAAAAGTAAATAGCTGAAATGGAAACAAACCTTTGTAAATATGGAGGGCAAGATGGGTTGAATGGAGGGGAGGGGAATGGGAAAAAAAGAGGAATCACGATATATCATGTACAGGTACAAATTCCCTATGATGACTGTGATCTATATCTATATCTATACTGTACCAATAAAATTAATTTAAAAAAAAAGAAAAGAAAAAGCAAATAGGAGCCGGGGATTTAGCTCAGTGGTTCTGCTGCCTGCCTCACAAGCGCAAGGTCCTGAGTTTGATCCCCGGCACCAAAAAAAAAATAAAAATAAAAATAAAAATAAAAAAATTTAAAAAAAACAAGAAAAAGCAAATAGTGGGTACAGGATTGGAAAGAAACAAAATGGTTCCTTTCCCCATATAATACAATCACATATAAAAACTGAATCTACAAAAAAATTATTAAAATATAACAGAATTTAGCAGATAGCTTAATGTAAAAAATCAATATATCAATGTTAATCATACTCCTGTAATTAGCAAACAAAAATTAAAAACATTTTACAATACTATAAAATTTTGTAGTATCTAAAGTACATAACAGTGATGTATTGATGTGTAAGATCATTCAGAAAATTATGAAACTTTATGTGAAGCAATAAAAAGGCCTAAACAAATGGGTCAGAAGACTTATTATAATGGTACTAATTCTCCTAATATTAGTTCATAACAGCTCCCCAAAACTCCTGCAGACTTTTTTAAAGTATGATTTTTAAGAAATGTAAAGAATAAGCCTGCCTCAGACACACTTGTAGAACAAAGTAGAAGGACTTGCTCTACCAGATATTAAGACATGTTATAAAGCTATGGTAACAGAAAATATCTTGTTCACACAGGCATATACTATCATATCAACAGTATGGAAAAGTCAAGAAACATGGTCATACACTTTTATGCACTTAATTTATGACAGGTGGCACAGCAGGTCAGTACAGAAAAGGCATCCTTTTCAATAAATGCTACTAGAGCAACTGACTATCTATACAGGGGAAAGAATGAAACTGAGCCTCTACTTTGACTCTAGAAAAATCAGTATTAAGTGGAAGAGGACAATAAAAAAATCATAAGCCATAAAGGAAAGTATTCATAAGTTTTACGATAAAATGAAGAACTTCTATTCAAGACAAAATTTTTTAAAAGAAAAACACCACAAAGTAGAAGATATTTGAAATCCATATATATAGCAAAGATGTCAGAAACAAATACATTAAAACTCCTATCAATTAATGAAAAAAACAACCTGATAGAAAGATGAAAGACTTGGCTGAGTACTTCACAAAAGAGAAAATACAAAAGATTCTCAAAATCACTACTAACCAGAGGAATTCAAAACTGCATACGCACAAGACTGACAAAAATTAAAAGCACTGTAATAGCAAGTGGTGGTGAAGCTACAGAGCAACAGGAACACTCATACTCTTTATGATGAGGCAAACTGGTACAACCACTTTAGAAAATAGTAGAAGTATTTAGTTCTATTAAAGATAAGCATAGTCCATGTTCAGCAATCTGACTCCTAAATTTATATTCCATTTCAACATAGATTAATGACCAAGAACATTTATGTCTATGTTATTTATAATAGCTAAAAGCTCCAAAAACTGGCAACAAAACATTCATCTGTGAGAGTAACTTGTGACATATTCACAAAATGAAATTCAATACAGCAATGAAAAAGAACTACAGTCATCCAATAGATGAATCCCACAAATAATCTTTTAAAATGAAGCAAAACTCAAAAGAATGCATGATAAGAACATGATACCAATGTGTCAAGTTCAAATAACTTTACTAATGCAGGGGCCGGGGATTTAGCTCAGTGGTTCTGGCGCCTGCCTTGCAAACGCAAGGTTCCAAGTTCAATCCCAGGTACCAAAAAAAAAAAGTTCACTAATCCATACCTATGTGGTAAAAGCATAAAGACAAGCACAAAAATTATCACCCCAGAAGTCATGATAATAGTTACCTAGGGGAAAATGATTATAATTGGAAAAAGGTCTTGGGGGGTCAATATGGTCAACAATGATGTACTTCATAATTTGGGTGCTTGAGTGTTTTTACACATTTTCAGAACCTGTATTGTACAATAAAAAATGGGAATACTAGGCTTGATGGCACACACCTGTAATTCTATCACTAAGAAGGCATGAGGCATGAGGATCGAACAAGTTTGAGGCCAGCCAAGTTTGAGGCCAGCCGGAGCTACATAGTGAGTTCAAGGCTGAACTACACAGCAAAATCTTATCTCAAAAATGGGGTGGGGTTGGAGGGGTGGGGGTCATAACACAAAGGATCTTCATTATCAAAATAGTTGGTAATCTAATAACAGCAACTGTAAGCAAAAGTTGTCATATGACAACATTCACTAATACACTGATCACTTAACAAACTGATTACACAAACTATCCTCAACCTGGTTAACACTATCAGTTTCTCTTACTGAGTGTAAGCATTCACATTACAAATAAAAAGTAATTTGCAAATTCATTCAACAAATACTAAACACCTACTACTTGCCAAACACTGATTGTGGGGACTAACGAAGTCCAAGACACATGAAAGCCCAGATGGAGGATAGAACCTTTATTCCCACCCCAACATGTCCTTCACCATTTTACCCTCCTTTCCTACCAAGTTTCAAACAAGGAGAACCTAAAAGCAGCAATTGAAGGCACACAAGTTTGTGAAAATCATTTGATGAGGGAATTTATTCTCTGTAAGAACCATCTGTTTGGGTTCATTTGGCTAAATGACAGCTTCCCATGTTTTCAAGTAGGCAGAGGATTGCCATGTCAGGAGCCTCAAGTCCAGGCTTAAGTAACAATGGTGAGGCTGTGGGAAACTGGCCTAAATGGCGTCAAAATTATCATTGGATGCTTCACCTGGGATCCAGACACCAGAAGTTTGCAACTTTTCAGAAACCATATAATAGATTTTGTGTATTTTTCACAGGTCAGAGCCCAGAATTCTCACGTCATTCGCAAAGGAGTGCAATCAAAATGAGTAAATAAGATCTGCTCCCAACAAGTGGAACAGACCAATTCTAGGGGGGCATGGTGAAAGTAAATGTGGTCACAGCTAGGTCATCTGAGTTGAAACCCAGGTGTCCTGACCCCAAAGGCTTATGCTCTTGAGTGTCCAGTACTTACTCTCAGCTCTTCGAAGGCTTCATCTAGGGTAGATAGCTGGTGGCCCTGGTGCGCCCCAATGACTGGACACAGCACACAGATGAGCTGCCTATCTTCCTGGCAATAAGTGCTCAAATCGAGTCCGTGGTCCGGACACTTCCTCTTGGCCACTCTCTCTGCTTCCATTTCTACTTCTGGGTCAAATTCGCTCTCTGCCTCAGTTTCTCCTTCTGCCTCGGATTCTTCTTCTGGGTTGTCCTCCTCCGCCTCGCTTTCTTGTTCATCTTCCATGTCTTCCTCACTGTCTTCTTCGCTCTCTTCCTCGCTGTCCTCCTCACTCTCCTCCTCTGTCTCGCTCTCTTCTTCCGACTCACTGTCTTCCTCTGACTCGCTCTCCTCCCCCGCTTCGCTTTCTACTTCCCTCTCCCGCTCCGCCTTAGCCCCGACGTCGTCGTCCTTCCCCACCCCGTCCCCAAGAGGCCGGGACGTCCAGGCCTGGGCGCCATGGACGTACTGGGCCAGGTGGTGACTGAGGAACTTCTTCCTGTGCGCCTCGGCGTGGCGGAGGCAGTAGCAGAAGCCGCATTCCCGGCACACTTCCTCCGCCCCTGGAGCCTCGTCTGGCTCGCACTCATCACACGTGCCGTCGTGAGGCAGCTCCTCGAAGGCTGCGCCCACTCCGGCGGCCATGTGCAGGCTGGGACGCTGCGCCAGAGGCCTCAGGGCCCGCAGCTCGCCGCCTTGCCTCGGCGCGGCCTCCTCGAGTCCTAGTACCCGGCTCCGGGGCCCTGCCGCTGGAATCGCCGCCCGTCTGGGCCGCACCGCGTCTCGGAGCGGGGCCTGGGGCCGCGGCGAACCCTGCCGCCTCGCAGCGCAAGCCCTCGAGCGGCTCGCCCTGCTCCACCCGGTGCCGGCTTCCGCCCCCGCCGCGCACTTCCGGCGCGGACGCCCACGCCCCGTCGACCTCCGCGCAGCCACTCGGCCCCCCGCTGGCCGGCGAGATCCCGGCCCAAGCGCCCCGGTTCCACTTTCCCTTTGCGGTCAGGCGGCCCCTTTCACTTCCTGAGTCACTTAAAGTGGCAATGGCCCTTTTCTGCTTTTCCCGCGGGGCTCTGCCGCGCAGCTAGGGATCTCGGCATCCCCTGGAAAGAGAAGAGTGGACTTAGTCTCCGGCGCACTCGGGGCTCCGCCTCCCCCGCTCCCTCCCTGGAGGTGTCAACCTGACTTGCAAACCCACCAGCCTGGGCTCCCCGTGGACTTCTGTCTCTCTCTGCCAATGTGTCACCGCCAGTCGCAGTCCACAGGGTTCTGCAAGGTGCCAAGACCCAGCTTTGTGTACTGAGCTGAATCTGACTTCTTGGGATTTCTGGAGGGCCCCAGGAGGGCTGTGTTTGTTCTAGGCGCAGGGAATCTGAGTCACGCTGAGCAAACACCGATCCGAAGCAGTACAGTGCTCTTTGTTTCTTTTCAAAGTCTTGTTTGTATTTCTGTCTCCTAGGGTCTCCGAACTTCTGGGGTCTTGGCCTTTTCTGAGAGCTGCTTTGGGGTAGGCTGAAATACTAGGTGAAGCCAGGTGAGGAAAGTCAGTATTCGTGGAGAGTACTAGGCTGCAGTCTCTTTCCTTTAGGCAAGGAGTCCCTCTAGATTCAGAGTGGGTTCCCAAGAGAAAGAAAGGGAGACATTAGATATTAAGCAGTAATAAAGTGCCAAGAATAGGGCTAGATCTTTGTGTGGCTCTTTAAAACCGACCTTAGAAGATCCCCACCCCAGGGTCCCCAAATCCTGGGACTACTGCATAACCAGTTTTGTTACCACGGACAAGTTAATTCATTACTCTGTTTTCTACTCTTTAAAAAAACCAACAAACTGTAAAATGGAAATAATAGCACTTCCCAGGTTTTTTTGTGGGTTAAAAAATGTAAAGGTTTAATTATTGAAGAGGTCTTGAAGCACTTAAACACATAAGGCTGGCTGCTGGTTGTGTAGGCAACTCCCTCATCTTTATCCCATATGATGTCTCTCCATTCACAGAAAAGCTGTATTGGTGGGGGCTAGCATTTTGATCTAAGTCAAGAGAAAGGCCAAGGTGTGGTTAAAAAGAATGGGTGTAGGGGTGGAAGGGTGTCTGATTTCCATTGATTTCCTTAGATCTTCACAAAAGTTGGAGGAAATAAAGAGGGTAAAAAACATTTCAAATACTTTTTAATATCACCGTGGATAATGTGAGCAGTTCTCATTAGATATTTATTTTTTAATCTCAGAACAATTCTATAGAATGTTGAGGGGAAACAGATTTGTTTTGTTTCAATTCCATACATTTTTCTGTTTTCCTCCAGTTCATTTCTCTGGAAATTATTTCTGTGTCTATTTGAAACAGGGATTGATGCACCATTCTGAGAAAAAAGTTCAGCCAATGCCAACTCAAACATCAGCATTAGTATATCTAGTGAGTAATGGTCTTTGCTTGGTTACCCCAAGTTCAAAGGAAAAGGATTCAGCATTTGCAAGCACAATGTTATGACATTTAGAAAATCTTTTCCTAGTGTCTTAAAAGGACATTTTTGGGTCTGGGGTGTTTGGGGGTGGGTTATTATTGTTAATGTTTCTTCTTTAACCTGACAGTTAAAATGTAATACTGTACAGTTTCTGACAATTTACAATCCTCCTTTGATACATGTCATATTTACTTTCCTTGTCACTAGGCAAAATATTGGATACCCAAGGCTTTAAAGGAGGAGAGGTTTGTTTTGGCTCACAGTTTGGCAGGCTTAAACATGAAAACAGCATGGCAGAGGGGTCTGGGCAGAGGAAAGCTACTCAAATCATGGCACGCAGGAAGCAGAGAATGAAAGGAGGAACCATGAGAGGAAGTATACTATTCCAGGTCGCACCCGTGATCTGTCTCTTCTCATCAGAGCCCATCTCTCAGTAGCAAGTCAGCTATATTGCCCCCATGATCCAATCATCTAAAAGGTTTGGCTATGAGTGCATGAGGGGAACATCTGCATATAAACCATAACAATCCTTCCATAGAGAGAGGTTTTCAGAAGCAGAAGATAAAATTATTTAAAAGATACTTTATAAAGTTCTGGTTAGACTATGTGGCAGACTCAATAAGGTGATCTTCTGTACAGAAAACAGAACCATCTGATTCCCCAGGAATTGGAATTTTTAGAAACACCCAGAGATAGCATCCTTGTTATGTTAATCTTCACACAAAATTATCTCAAAATGTAGCAGGTTAAAATAATAAACATCTATTATCTCACAGTTTCTATGAGACAGAAATCTTGGAGTGGCTTCACTGGGTGCCTGATTTAAGGTCTGTTAAGAGATTTCAGGAAAGATGTTGGCTGCACCGTAGTCACTTGAAGGCTAACTTAACAAACGTAGGTTTCACCTCTAAGATGGCTCACTTACATGGCTCTTGACAGGAGGCCTCACCACTTTTTATAGGGCTGTGTAATTGTCCTATGACCTAACAGTTGAATTCTCCCAAAGCGAGAGATCCAACAGAGGACAAGATGAAAGTTAACAATGTCTTTTATGACCTAAACTCAGAAATAACATACCATCATTTCCAATATAAACTATAGAATAGATCAGTTCTATTCACTATGGAAGGAAACTACACAAGGGCATGAGTACCAAGAAGTAGAGTGTCTTTGGGGCCATTTTGGAGGATCGCTACCACAGTCTGCCCTTTGCTCTCCAATGATTCACGTCTCTCCCAAATGCAGAATATTATCACTTCTTTCCAAAGTACAAAAGTCTCAACCTATTATATCATCAGTCCAGAATCTTGTCATCTAAAATGGATTTGGGTATGGAAAAGTCTCTGAGGTGATATATTGTTAAGTGCAGCTGCTCCAGTGTAGTTACACTTCATCGTAATTCCTGTGCTCTGCATACTCTCAAAATACAATGGAGTGAACAGCGTAGGAGAACTCCCAACAAACATGCTTGCTCAAATAGTAGGAAAAATAGAAGGCTCTGAAGAGTTACTGGGGCATAGAACCCTTAAATGCAATTGGGTGCGTGTTGGAATTTACATGATTGTGGGTCAGTCCTACTTCTGCCTGGAATGACTCCCCACAGTTCTTGACTTCACCATTTGGACTCTTGATTCTGCTTTCTGAGTTATCCTTCCTTTTCCATTAAAAGTAGCCCATGTTTTCAACTGGAGTTCTGTCAGTTTGCTTTGTGCCTGTAGAATTTAGAGGATCCAAAGGCCACTTGTCATTTTGTACTGTCTCTGTGTGTCCATGCTGGCAGTGTGTTTGCCAATATAATGTTTTAGAACCTTACATGTTTCCTATAAATTGAACTGGATTCATTCTATTGGACAAAATTCATACCCAGAAATCTCTTCAAGATAAGCTGTTATTTATTGAGGAGAGTTCCTCTGCTGAACCTGCCCAGGTACAACACACTAGGCATCTTTGAAGCTCTATTGTTTGTCTGAATGATTTTCTGACTCATCAATAGATATTTTTGAGGTCTAAACAAAGGCTTTACAGCCCCACTTTTACCTCATTGTTTGATATTTTCCTGGCAGCACCTTGGAGTTTATCTTTGCCTGAAAACTATCTCTTTATTTTAGCACCATTTGCTACGTGGAGAAGCTGGGAATTTCAAAACCAGCAGATTCTGGATCCTTTCTTCATTCCTTTCGTTTTCTAAGTTCTTCCTGTAGATTATTTTTTTCATATTTTACTGTAATCATCAAGAAGACATGAGCCAGTATCTTCAAAACTTTACCAAGAAATGTCCTTAACTAGAATACTCAATTGAATAGGGACATTTTTACCTTCCAATGCAGGCATCAGTATTATTAAAATTCTGCCTCTACATAACAAGGATCCCTTTCCTCCAATTTTCAATAACATTTTCCTTGTTTCCCTTTACATCCTTACCTATACTCATCTCAAGGCCATAAGGAGTCTACTAACAATTTCTTTAAAACTCAGTGTTTAACATTCTCCTCAAATTCTTTCCAGCTTCTGCCCACTGCCAAGTTCCAAAGCGATTCCAAGATTTCAGGTTTTTAGTGTGAAAGAAACTGACACTCTAATAAAAATCTGTATTAGTGGCCTACTGTTGCATAAAAGATTTCCCTAAAATTTTGAGTTATCTCATGGGCTGATGGTCACACTTGGCATTGGAATCGTACATATTCTCAGTAGGATTAGCAGCAGCTGCAAAGTATCTGTATTGGCTGCATTCCTGTTACTGAGACACAATACCTGACACCTGCAACTAAAATAGGTGAGGTTTATCTTGCCTCACAATTGCATGGGTTCAGTCCATGGCAGGCTCCAAGACAGAATGAGCATGATGAAAGTGCACTGTAGAGGAATGCTGCTCACACACTGGTGGCCAAGAAGCAGAAAGAGAAGGGAGGCTCGTGGAACAAGAATATACCCTTCCACGTCCACCCCTAGTGACTCATCTCCAACCAAACCCCATTGCCTAACAACACATTCAACTGCTAAGTTCATCAATAGATGAATCCACTGATGAGTATACCACCCCCATGATCCAATTCCTTTCTCCCATGGCTTTTGTCTAGATGTCTCTCAAATCCTCATGCTGTAGTAGATGGGGCTTTTCGAGGTGGCTAATGCAGAGTGTGTGATCCTGGGATTAAGGGTGTGTGATTACTAAAATAGTCCACTGATTGGTTTGGCATGGTTCTGGGAGTGGATAATGGGAAGGCCCTCCCTGGGTGTGAGTGCTACCCATTCTATGGGTGGGTAGCCTGGATAGAATATAAGGGACAGAAAGAGAGTTAGTGGAGTCATTTGCAGCTTCCTTGTTACTTCACTGCTTTGCTGCCCTACTTACTTCTGCCTGCCATGGACTCTTTCTCCTCTGTGACGCCCCTCTGCCATGTTGCCCTGCCTTGGAGTCAGCCAACTCTGAACTGAAACCTCTACAGATTGTGAGACAAAAATAAACTTTTCCTCTTTTAGCTATAGATGTCCAAAATTGTGTCTAAGCAACGAGAAAAGTAATTGAGACACCTTCCAAGCATATGAGACTTTGGGGGTATATTTTAGATCTAACAGCATCTCTAAGTAGCTTATCAGGGAAGAACAGGGAAGGTTGAAGCTGTGACTGTTTTTGTAAATACTTGTGGGGACTCCCAGAAATAAATGACCTATTCCTAAATAAACAAAAGCCTGCTATCATGTGGCTGTAGGTCTTAGGTCTTGAAACATTTGAACACTATACAAATGAGGAAACCTAAGTTCAGAGACGTGAAGGAACTTGTTAAGAAGTAGCTGAGTTGGGATTCAAACTCAGATCTCTCTGGCTGCATCTTAGCATAGTCACCTGTGGGCTGAATAAGTGATACCCCACATTACCAACCTGCTTCCCAAATAATTTTACCAGTATTTTTTTTCCAGTTGTGAAGTCAATT